AGCCTGGTAGCTTATTTCTGCTGCGTCGCTCTTCGTATCGACGTGACCTATATACAAACAATGAGCAGGTAATATAGTCACAAATATTGTCAATACACATACAAATATTGTCATCACATTGGTCTCTTCAAGATAGATACGAGAAGTTGAAGCGGCACTGACGATTGCAGGGCTAGACTGGTACCGACCTTCACTCAGCCAACTATCTTTGGCTACACTGAAGTGAGTTACACTAGCGTGTGGAACTGTCCACCGGGCAGCAGTCTAGCTGAGTAAGCCGAGCGTTGTGTAGAAGAACGACTTGAAAATGCTATGTACATGGACTCGTTGCACCATCTATGGGACGCCATAAGTTGCAAAATAATGTCAGGGCATGAAACAGCAAAAATGGTAAATTCGTTTTCTACAGAAAAACGACGCGCGCCGAGCAGCAAACCAATAATTACCACCATTTGTATGAAATCTCTAGCTACGTGCGTAGTGAAAAGAGTTGTGGAATCGCCACAACTGCTCAATTGAGCGATTATAGGGCTTTGTCGTATACCCAAAGGGAACTGAGGAAGGTGTTTGAAACAGTGCAGGGAATATGATTCAGTGTGCCGCTACGCGCCATTGTTCGCGCTTCGCGCGGATCCGGGCTGCCAATTGTCCAGATTATATTATACACATGAGTGAGAACGCTACGAAATTTGAACGGCGCCTCTCTCTCCCCCTCCCTCTATCTGTTCCTCTGTCAGCTGTCTCTATCTGTTCCTCAGTCTGTTCCTCTGTTCCTCGAACTGTCGATCTGTTCCTAAGTTTGGCAGCGAATAGCGTATAACGAAGTAGAGGAATATTTAATCGGAAATTGCTTACTGTTCCACCAACAAATTCTGTTTATTGTAGTTTGAAGTATAGTTTTAAGAAATGTGTGGTGGAAAACGTAGAAACATTAGAGGCAGAGGAGTACCATTTTGCCTGAAATAATGCCGTTGAAATTAGGAATAAGAAAAGTCTATGGTCTTATGGAAATGTAGCATTGTATGACCGATTAAATCTAGAAATCTGTAGATTTCAATACTTAGTCGTCATAGTAGTGTTAGAAGTTCGATTGAAGGCATAGCAAAACAAGCACCCCAATGTAAATGAGTGTCATAGTGAGACCATGGTAACAAATGAACGCTTACAAAGACATGGCAATATATTGTATTATATGTTACAACTGTATATGGTTGACATTGCACGCTCGTTGAATTGTGACACAGTGTGTTACAAAGTCAGAGTTACCACATACAACTTCATATGCTAAGTCACTTTTATATAGCAATATATAGCATATATGATATATGATATAGCAATATATAGCATATATAATGATATAGCAATATATAGCATATATAATGATATAGCAATATATAGCATATATAATGATATACTAGCATATAGCATATACCCAGACAGCACAACAGCACCAGGCCAATATTGGCCCAATATCGGTTAATCTTGGCACCAATAATATTGGCCCGACATTGCCAATATCGGCCTGACCCCCGGCTTGCACTTTGGCCCGACATCGGGTTAACTGGCTCCAGGTTGGCAGAATAATGGCATGGGGCTAAATGATACACTTTCCTTGAATATCAGTGTGTGGGCTGGGCATTTTTGAATGAAAAAGATTGTACTATTAATTATTCTGGTTTCAATAAAAATTTATTAAAATGTCGAAAATGCATATTTAAACATTTGCTATAATAGATATAGGGATGGTGAACAAATAGAAGGCTGGAGAGGGGACAACCACGGGTTATTGAAACCAGAGTTAGTTTATGTGCGGAAAATTCTGGTGATTCGAAACACTAATATTTAGAGAATTAGAGGCGGCACTAATCTCCTTTTTCTCTAGATAATCCCCGCACTTCGATGCACCGAGTGCCTTGTGAAATACAAGAAAGAGAGCCAAGATACAAGATACAAGATACAAGTATGGTACCAGTCTACATAACATGGACGGTGCGAAAGAACCCGAAGAACATAATCATGTTCAGAATAAACATTCTTTAAACAACGGGGAATACACACAAGTCGAAAATGCGCTAGATGCCAATAAATCCAGCAGTGATGACAAAAGTGTAAGTGACCTGAAGACTAGCGGGCACCTAAGGCCAAACGTAACGGTAAAAGGTGTGCCAGAGGTTCCAGTGACTCGATTGAGTGACAGAGTGAGAGCGTTTCATTCTGTATTTGTAACTTGAGAAAGTGACAGTTTTGACTGTTGTTGAATGATAACATCGTTAATTGTTATTGAGTCTATATTAAATGGTCCCCGTTTCTGTTGTTCCTTATTGGAATTCTTTCCCTTCCACTTAAAAATTTATAATATATTATCCCGCACTCCGGCCTCTCTGCTGACGTCGTTAGCTACCTTATTGCTTCCATTATTACCCACACCCGCTGCATCGCGCGCACGGAATTTAATCGTCGTTCTCTCGTATATTTCCCGCTGGCTCGTCGCCAACGCGACCCGCACGGCGTCACGCCTAAACTAACAGTAATTAATGAGCTAAGCCTGAAACCCGCTCCGTTACACTTTCTATCCTTCAGCTCCTTGAGTTGCGTTGCATGCATGCCTTTACGGTCCGGCTTCAACGTATTCTAAAGTACGATGCACTGGAACGGAAATGTTAAAAACGAGTGTCTCCGGAACGGCAAAAATGTAAGATCTGCATGGTAACTAAACTTGTGATGCTCTGGACAGTCTGCCGCCGGATATCCGCGCGAAGCGCGCCAACGTCGCCTGGCGGCATTCTAACACGATTTCGCCGCCCCCATTCCATCACCTTCAACGGGTTTACATATGTAAGGCAAGCAGCAAGTTCGCTGAGTTGAGCAGTTCTGGCGATTGGACGACCGATTTCACTACCCATGTAGCTTGAGATTTGCTTGAAATGCTCGTATAACTTTTTTGGCGACTCGGCGCGCTCGTTTTGCTGTAAAAAACGAATTTGCACTTTCTTCTTTGTTTGTTTCTGTTGATGAGTGTAGTACATATGGCGTGCGATAGACGGCGCAACGAACGCCGAGATTATAGGCATAGTAGACTGGTACATGTTCGCCACTTTTACTCCGGCATATCGCTACACTCACGTAGTGTAGCGTGTGGAACTGTCGACCGGGTACCAGTCTATATGCACATGGATTGATAGCATGGCGTCTTGCGTCTATGTTATAACCATGGAAAGGTTTCTTATTGTTCGTCGTTTGATTCGTTAAATAATGACGAGCCGCAGCTGGAATTTTTTTCATCGGAAGGTCATCTAATTATAAGGAAAGTCGAATTTTGTTATGGGCAGACTAACGACTATAAATAAGTATGTAACAAGCGTAGATGCAGCTTTACAAATTAGTTTACATACCGGGCGGTGGTCGGTAGCCGTGTTATGTCGAATCTTAACCCGACCAGGCTGTGTGACTAACGTCAATACACCCTAGTATTCTAACCCTAGCAATACCGTTTCTTGGAGCTAGTCGAATCTATGATCTTGCAGTGCAGCCTTGATCTTGCAGTGCAGACAGTCATACACTCATATGTACAGTCTTGTCGGGTTATTTACATTACTATCAATATCATAGTGACGGGAAGTTGTACTT